GAGTTTGAGCATCAAACACTTAAATTTCTGCATTCTAGTGAATTTAATGCACCAATCAAGAGTGAAAAGGCCTTTAATTTGTCAAATAAAAGTCCTCTATTACTTCCAAGTGTTTATTGGAGGGGACAAATGCACAAGTGCTAAATTTTGACAGGTGTATGTTTCTTGCGTGCCCCCCCCCCCTCCCTGAAATCTACACCTATCGCTACCCCTTGTTTTTCTCAAAGCCGCAGTAATATTATATCTGGTGCATATTTTTGGAACCACTGAGGCATTGCTTGCTTAAGTGTGAATTGCTCAAGTGTCTTACTTGAGCTCCTCCTCCTCAATGAAGCCACTGTTGTCCTGGTCAATGATGGCGAAGGCCTTCTTGACCTCATCAGCGGACTTGCCGGACATGCCGCATGCCTTGAAGAACTTCTTGTGGTCGAAGGAGTCGGCGGCTGGAACGAGCATTTTAACACCATTATTAGCACTGCGACAGGCTACACATATAGACACATATAGGACTTCAGTGTTGCTTTAATGTGATAAATGTGGCTGGCAGTTTAGTTCAGTATATTGTGAGCCAATTTGTGTCAGTCCTTTTTTATTAATGAATATACATTGTGACAATTCATGATATGCAAGTAATAATAATGTGGATAAAGTGTGTTTGCTGTGTGATAATGAGGCTCACCTGAGCAGCCGGCAATAGCGGCTTTGACATCAGCATCATTGAGGACACCAGCGAAGGCCATTTTTTATTCTGATGGAGGAAAGAAGACTCAGGGTTAGTAAAAGCATCACAAATCCCACAAAATTGTCATATTGCTGCATTACAAATATCCCTCATTAAAGCAAGAGTCACTGATAGTTTGTATCTGGGAGGTTCTCCTACTCAAAGGGGCCTAAAATACAGTGGCCCCAAGGAGGTACTCAGAGGGTTTGATGAGTCAGTAGTGTTTTTCAATCATCAAACTGAACCTGAAAGCATGCCTCAGTGGCCAGATGTTAAGTTTCAAGAATTAAACAAGGCTTTTTCTCCTCTGGCTTCACAACACTGTACTGGGAATCGTGTAGAAACCTAAAATATGTTCAAAGCCACTTGTTTGTTTAGGTTATGATGAAACTAATTAATTGCTTTAATTTGCAAAAGCTGACAAGCAGTATCCCCAGCCCTGTTTCTTTTCTTTAATAGTGGGCTAAAGAGCTACTCTTTGCCTCCGGATGTCATCTCATCTCAGGCTCTGTTTATCCCAAAGCTGCCATGGCACTAAATAGATGATGCTCCCACTGAGAGGCCAAATCACTGCAACATGAATCACTGCCACAAATAAAACAACGCAGCTTAGGAAACGCAGTGATGTCGAACGCGTCTGTGGCTTTGGATGTGATATTATTTTGCATCCAGTTTAAAAGAAGTAAAGTAAAATCGCGCAATTATCATCCACAAACGTTGATCCCTTGAAACCAAACGGCCTCCTTTGCGCACTGATTGATTCGTCCTGTGGTCCATGTTGCTCTCTCTATGTTAGCTCCATTTCTCCCTACAGTTATAGTCCAAGAGGATCTCCTCGTCTCGGTGCGCTTTTCCTCCCAGTGCAAACTGTCAGAAGCAGGCCTCACTCACCTTTGGGTTGCGTTGAGGCGAGTGAAAACCAAGGCGGACTCGAGTGAATGCCACTAGCAGCGTCCCCCTTCTCTCTTATATATCCTTGAGCAACACCATTTACAGAGATTTGAGTCTCAGTATCAGGTACCGAGATGTATGGGTTTCTAAAAAAATGTGTCAAGTAGTCTCAACCTATTTTTAGGTGAACAAATGAGGATGGACCATGTGTGCGTTCGCGGAGGCCTATAGCTTGCCGTGTGGAAACCCGAGCAGGCACTCTGCCCACTGACTTCACGGGACATGTTACGCTTGCATGATTTATAACCAACATCCAAGATGCTGATTCTGATGTTGTACATTTCGTCTGAGATTATTAAAGAAATGTTTGAGAGAGGATGGAGCTACTGTAGGCCATGGGTCAGATCCCCTAATTTGGTTGGGGCCAAATGTCACATGAATGTGCACCATGGACTCGGTGCCAAATTTAACCTCTGTTCACTCTCTTAATGAACTGAGGAAGTGTTGAACTCGCAGTCTTAAACGTCATGTCCTCAGAAGCAGTGGTGCATTTTATCTCCTTGTATCTGATTATGTCTCTCTGCTTGTTAGACATAGTGTGTATTACCGGTAAAATGCTCCATATAGCACATACATGAGCGTCTATCCTGCATGATAGAGCTTTATGGCATGTTTTATCTGCATTATTTGATGCGCTTGCCTGCAGTCTGCTTTAGCTTTATTTCCCATACAGTTAGCAGCCCTTTCTTCTCAGTTTTATTATGACTTCATTATAAAACGTTGGAGTAAGGCTCTTGCATATGAAGGGCTGGAGTTTCAGCACCCCTATGAGATGATCGCAGATGGTATATCTGCTGTCCTTTGACATTAACTAGCTAAAAGCAAGGCTATTCTATGTTTCCATGTGGTTCACATGAGCTCCACATGCATGAGTGGGGCCTGCACCACCGGATCCCTGTCCTTAGTGGAATGCACCAATCATTCAGACTATTTTTGCGTCCTGTGCGACTGCGTGCGTGAACAAGTTAGCAATATGTTGACAACTCAGTTTACTCTGACGTGGCACAAAACGCAGCTCATTTTTCTGTCTAACTTAATTAATGCAGATATAAACATCCCTCTTGAACTTAATGGCCTCTTTATAAAATGTAAACCCCCAACTGTTAACCTCATTCCAACCCCACTCACTCATCTCGGTTCTCTAGGCTATACAAAAGAAAGTATCCATACTTATGGTGGATATCTCCACCTGGGTCTGCAGGAATTTGAAATCCGTCCAGCAGAAGGCAGTAATGATCCTGATAAAGAAAATGTTGGGAATTTTTGTGGAAGCAGTCATGTGTCCTAAGTAGGGGTCCCATTCATTTAAAGTGCAAAACTCCCCCATTTTAGGACAAATTATTTTCTCAAGAACAGTGAAATTGGACTGAGAATGGTTTTAGGATATAAGCTACTCTGCCGTGAATCAGAATGTGGTTTTCCTCACCATGGCAATCATGCCAGTGACTGTCTGTTGCGGTTGACAGCCCCCATCAGCGCACTTCCATGGGTTTTAGTCATAGGCGGATTAGGAGACCATGGGCCCCTGGGCACAGGCATGCAGAGGGCCAAACCAGTTGTAATACACAGGAGCAAGAAACAGACTTTATAGACGTTTAGCCTCTTTTTGTTGTGGTTTTGCATCTCTTTGTAGTCGTTAGAATCTCTCTGTGGTTGTTATGTCTCTCAGTGGTCATTTTGAGTGTCTTTGTAGTTGTTTACATCTCTTTGTGTCTGTTTTATGCCTCTCGGTGGTCATTTTGAGTCTCTTTGTAGTTGTTTATATCTCTTTGTGTCTGCTTTATGCCTCTCAGTGGTCATTTTGAGTCTCTTTGTAGTTGTTTACATCTCTTTGTGTCTGTTTTATGGCACTCAGTGGTCATTTTGAGTCTCTTCGTTAGTTGTTTATATCTCTTTGTGGTTGTTTTATGCCTCTTATTGGTGATTTTGAGTCTCTTTGTAGTTGTTTTGTGTGTCTCAGTGGTCATTTTGAGTCTCTTTGTAGTTGTTTACATCTCTGTGTCTGTTTTATGCCTCTCAGTGGTCATTTTGAGTCTCTTCATTAGTTGTTTATATCTTTTTGTGGTGGTTTTATGTCTCTCATTGGTCATTTTGAGTCTCTTTGTAGTTGTTTACATCTCTTTGTGTCTGTTTTATGCCTCTCAGTGGTCATTTTGAGTCTCTTCGTTAGTTGTTTATATCTCTTTGTGGTGGTTTTATGCCTCTCAGTGGTCATTTTGAGTCTCTTTTTAGTTGTTTACATCCCTTTGTAGTTGTTTTATGTCTCTCAGTGGTCATTTTGTGTCTCTTTGTAGTTGCTTTGTGTCTCTCAGTGGTCATTTTGAGTCTCTTTGTTGTTGCTTACATCTCTTTGTGGTTGTTATGTGTCTCTAAGTAGTTATTTTGAGTCCTTTTTGTAGTTGTTTACGTCTCTTTGTGGTTGTTATGTGTCTCTACGTGATTATTTTGAGTCCTTTTTGTAGATGTTTATGTCTCTTTGTGGTTGTTTTGTGTCTACATGTGGTCATTTTGAGTCTCTTTGTAGTTGTTTACATCTCTTTGTAGTTGTTTGTGTCTTGAAGTGGTCATTTTGAGTCTCTTTGTAGTTGCTTTTCACTTTATGTAGTTTTCTTGTGTCTCTAAATGGTCATTTTGAGTCTATTTGTAGTTGCTTTTCACTTTTTGTCTACATATTTCAAGGCTCTTCATAGGTGCTTTGCATTCTTTGTAGTCATTTTGCCTCTCTTTATTGTTGTTTTGCATGTCTAAATGGTAATTTTGAGTCTCTTTGTGGTTGTTTTGTGTCTCTAAGTAGCCATTTTGTGTCTCATTGTGGTTGTTTCCCCTCTGAACTTGTCTTTGTTAGTCACTTTGTGTCTCTTTGCAGTTGTTTTGCGTATCTTTGTAGTCATTTTGTGCCTCATTGTGGTCATTTTGAGTCTCTCGAGGTCGCAACGTGTTTCTTCAAGTGACATTTCTTCTGGTGAAGGCCAGGGGGGCTCTGACACTTAAGGCCCATGAGCTTGTGCCTGGTAGGGCTGTTCACTAATCCATCCATGGTGTCAGTGACATGAGAGAAGTAGTGTATGGCTAAGTCTATAGGTACTCAGCTTATGTTATCTTAAATATTTTAGGATTAAAGCTGTCCAGTGGTATTTGTCATTTTATGCTGCGTGATTTAGTCTCTAATAATTTACCATACGCTAATCTTGTTAGTCATCTCTAACTTTTCTTAAAGATGTATTGGATGCCTCTACAGGAAGTGTTAATGAAATGTTGAAGCCTATATGGGACACTTAATGTATTGTCCGTTACAGACAGACAAAAAAAAAAGCCCAGCACACAGTGGTAGCCCATCTCCAACACATTTATTAACCCATTCCAGGTACCCATTTGATTAAACACACACAACTAATTTCCAGCTTATGTCCACCAAACATCTTACGCATTACTGTATCACATCAACAGGGAGAGCAGCAGGCAGGTAGAGAATATCCAAGGTTTCTGGTCTTTGCATCAAACAATCTGGAAAACCAGGATTCCCCTAAGAAATCCTTTATCTTAAAATAGGGAAAGACAGTCATGGTCAAAGATGCTTCTTCTCTTTATTTCAGGATATCACAGAACTCTGTGGGGGAGAAACAGAAACAGTGGGTTTAGGAAGAGATTAACAAGTTCTCCAGGCAAGACGCCAGTGTCACACAACATTATGGTTAAGCAGGATGACTAAACAAACAAATTATTCTGTGCTTACTTTTATAGTGGATTTGTATGTGCTTCTTTTTATAGACTGAAATTTCAGCACTAAGTAATGGACAGCTCCCCTGCACAGACGGCTGCTGACAGCCTCTTCTTTTTTTTTGGATGTTTTACACGCACCCACCTTCCATCCCAATCTTGCCATCACCATCCTTATCACCTGCAGCCATCAGAGCCTTGGTCTCAGCCACAGTCAGCTCCCTCGCCTCCGGAAAGAAATTCTGAAGGAACCGTCTGATGGGTGCATACAAAATACCAGCCATAAGTTCAGACATGTCATCATATCATCATAGACTTTATCTTTTCTGATGCCATTTTCTCCCCCTCTAGGCCTTTCTGAGCAGTTCCAATCCCCCTCCCCATCACTCAGTCGCCTGCCCTCCCCCTCATGTATTAACTGAGTTAATTCACAGCAGTAATGCTGCTCCATTCATACACTGACCTCTGCCTGTGGGCTATTAGGGAGTTACAACATAGATGTAGCACACATGCACAAAGACACACACACACACACACACACACACACACACACAACCCTTACTTGAGCTCCTCCTCTTCAATGTATCCACTCTTGTCTTGGTCCAGGACGGTAAACACTTTTCTTCCATCTGCCTCAGATGAGCCGGTCAGTCCCACTTGTGCAAAGAACGACTTGAAGTCAAATGTGCCTGGAGCTACAGAGGCAAAGAGAGAGAGAGAGAGAGACAGAGACGAAGAGAGCAAGAGAGGCAGACAGATGTAGGAGTGAGAAGTCGATCCCAGAATGACAAGAAAGCAAGAATGGTGAGCGACTGAATAGAGATGTCGCATTAACTCATTCGCTCAGATGACTTTCATTCTTCAACCGATGACATTTACCAATATACACCCCGTAGCGCATCACTGTCTTATACCATTATAGGCTATGGCATTATGCCATTGAAACAGTCAAAGCACACTGAATTTCGCCCATGGGTTGATTGCAAACCTAAATGTTAAAAGCCCTTTATTTATCAAGCTGTTCAAAGTGGAAATTCTCATCTAGGATGTCATTGAAAATGACATGATGAATAAGGCTTGCAGCCACACTTTGAGCAATTATACCTTTACACTTTGAGCATTTCAGTTTCCCATCACTTCTTACAAGGCAAGGCAAGGCAAGTTTATTTGTGTAGCACAATTCAACACAAGGTAATTCAAAGTGCTTTACAGAGAAATTAAAAGCAACAAGACACAATTTAAAACAAAAAAAACAGTCGATTAAAAAGGGAAATAGAAATTGAGAATGATAGTGATAATAATAAAATACAGTAACATAAAATAAAAACAGGCTCAATACATTGAACAGTCAGGATAAGAAAAGAAGTAGAATAATAAAAGGCATAAATCAGCAGTGTATAGTTAAAAAGTACGGGCAGTAGAATACAGCAGGTAAGTATTTAATCTAAGCCTACGCTTCAGTAAACAATAGTGTTTTTAGCCCTGATTTAAAGGAGCTGACAGTTTGAGCAGACCTCAGATCTACAGGAAGTTTGTTCCACAGGTGAGGAGCATAATTACTGAATGCTGCCTCACCTTGCTTGGTTCTTGTTCTTGGAACACACAACAAACCTGTTCCAGATGACCTAAGGGGTCTGGATGCTTCGTAGGGAACCAGTAGATCAAGCATGTATTTTGGTCCGAGACCATTTAGGGTTTGTAGACCAGCAGTAAGATTTTAAAATCTATTCTTTGACTCACAGGAAGCCAGTGTAGCGATTTAATGACCGGTGTAATATGGTCCAGTTTCCTGGTGTTTGTAAGGACTCTGGCCGCAGTGTTGTGAATCAGCTGCAGCTGTCTGATTGATTTTTTGTTAAGGCCTGTAAATAAGCCATTGCAATAATCCAACCTTCTAAAAATGAATGCATGAATAAGTTTTTCCATGTCTTGTTTAGACAGAAACCCCTTAATTCTAGCTATATTTTTCAGGTGGTAATAGGTAGATTTAGTAATAACTAACTTTAAATGGCTGTTGAAGTTCAGGTCTGAGTCAATAATAACACCAAGATTTCTGGCTTGATTTGTAGCTGTCAATGACATAGAGCCAAGGTGGGTGCTGATCTTTGCCCTTTCATTTCTAGGGCCAAAAATTAATACCTCTGTCTTTTCTGGATTTAGCTGGAGAAAATTCTGGCACATCCAGTCATTGATTTGATGAATACAGTTACTCAATGAGAGTAAGGGACTGTAGTCGTGTGATGACACTGAGATATAGAGTTGTGTGTCGTCGGCATACGTATGATACATCACATAAATACTACCTCTTTTATTTGATACATTAATGTTATTTTGCCTGAAACATTGCTAACAGGGTGGGGTTTCTTGAATTAAGAGCACATAAGCGCTGACATTTGATATCAATCTGAGGGGCTGAGATGTGTCCGCCTTGTCATGCAAACATAATTGCCAGCTATAAATGATTAAGTGCTCTGGGATGATAGTGGCTGTATGTGATTTGGCTGTTTCTGCTCAACATAAACACTTTGGTATCTGGGTGGTGTCTGCTCTCCTGCCACATGGCTGCCAGGTTACCTGAGGCTCCCTGCCCCCACTGTGAACAACACATCATACAGGTATCCCTTGTGGGAATGACAATGTCCCTCTTCTCTCTCCCTGTGCATTATGTGAGTGGATTCATATTCACTTATGTGTTCTTCCGTTAATTATTAGATGCTTGTAAAGTGTGTGTACTCCCCCCTGTGTGTGAGCGTGCGTGTGCTGTCTGACTCACCTTGACAAGCCTGGACCGCAGCCTTGATGTCCTCGTCGCTCAGCATCCCTGTAAATGCCATGGTCCTCTGTAGCTGCCTGAGGGGTGCAAACACACATGCACGGAGGAAATGCAAAGTGACAGTAAATGAAAGTGGTGCAGGTGTTTTCTGCTGTCAGATAACAGTCTTTGTCAGATCAAAACTTGTGGATATATTTAGCATTATTATTTCTCTGTGGGGTGTCTTCAGGTAAAGCAGCACTTTCGAAAAACAAGGTGCTGAGTGGTATCTTTAATCAGTGGGGCTTTGCCATTTTGACCTGTCAAGTTCAACTAGATTAACAAAAGATGCAAATTATCTCAGTGAAATAAACAGATATATTTCATCATATGACATGGTCTAAATCATATGAGAATTCCCTCATGATCACAAAATGAAAGTTGCTGCAACTTGAAGGAGCAAACACAGACATGGACTTGAGCATCTTAATTTTTATTCGCCCCTTGTTGAAAGCAAAAGAACTGAGATGCTTTAAGGCACAAAAACACACACAACTGCCAGCTATCCTCACACAAACATTGCCGTGCACATGAATTTGCAAAAAGGCTTGGTACTCACCGTGCTTCGGGTGAGGTTTGCACTGTCTGTTGCCTGTGATGCGCAGATCTCTGCTTCTCTTGCTTTGTGCTTAAAAGCCACCAACACTCTCTTGCAGCTTCGTGATCCAGAGTGCAAGAAGCAACCTGACGTATCTGTCCTCAAACCCAGGGAGATTTCCCCCACGCCACAGAATGCCTCCTCCTCCTTCATCAGTTAATCAGAGCAGATAATTTTCTCACTCATTTTGTTGTGTAAACTTGCAGGCACAAGAAAAAATACAGTAAAAATATTACTACCCCAATTTGACAGATATAAATGTAATTTAGTGCAGATTTTTGCATTTGATTTATCTTAACATTTCTGCTTTTACTGCTACAAAAACTAAGCTGTTACTATGTTCATATTAATATTAATAAGGAATAATTATATAAAACAAAGATGCAGGTGAACTCAGTCCATAAGAAAAATGTGATTATTATCAATCAGCCATGTGTGCTTAATTTTACTATTAATTATGTCTGGTAATCTTAAAAAAAAAATGCATTAAACACACACATGTACATGCAGCTCTCTTGTTGTGAGTCTAAGCTATATATAACAAAGGGGGAATATGTGAGTTTGTCTTGTTATCAAGCAGAGCATTGCAATAATTAAATCTGGTGATATATTCTTTATTTAAAGATTTTTTCACACCTCAATCAATTATCATGTTCTTTGGCTTGAAACGTACAGGTACATAGAGGAGGTACATAGAGGTATGGCTGTCTGTGATATATAACAACTTGTCTGTTCAAGACCATCTTTCCTGTCTTTGTGGCTGTTGTGGAAAAAAATAGGATGAAAAACTGGGATAGGAAAAATATGATTTTGTTTGTTTAGCTATGAGTATTCACTAATAGGGGATATAAAGTGTCCCTGTAAATCTTACACCCAGCTATATTCATGTGATATCACAAGACAGAAAATAAAACAATATCCAGGCTTGTGCCAGCAATAGAGCACCAGTCAAATAACCCTGTCCACCTATTAAATGTCGCTTGGCAGTTTATGGTTGGTCGTAAATCCAAAAATAAACATTTATTACAGACAGGTCGTCTTTCCAAACCAGCGTTACGCGCCTCACATGGTTGGCAAGTGACTAGATGTAAAAAGCTTTCTTCAGCTTTGATACAAAGCACTGGATTTACGTGACTGATAATAAAGCTCGAAGCTGATTGGCTCTGCGCGCAAAACGCGAGGGCATTCTCCGCTGCGATTGGCTCGATAACGTGTCAATCATTTGAGGATTTACGCCTCACTCCGTGATGTGACGTTGTACAGGAACATGGCGCTCTGGAGGGGAGGTGTTTCATGATAGTCAGGGCTATTGATTAATTTCCTTTAGCTGTGTTCTTTTAAATAATACTAAGGTACATACACCGAATATGATAGGCCGTGAAAGGTGATCGCTCCTTTTGTCTCCATGGACAACGGGACACTACATTTCGTAGCGCTGTTTGCTGTCGTCAGCTGAAACTGTTAGCATTTACATGCTAGCTGAAGCTAGTTAGCCGGCTAACAGTGAGTAGCTAACGTTAAACAGACCGAAAAAATGCTTGTTTATGTAGCCTACGCTGACGTTAATGTGATTATCAATGATTGAAACACGCTATTTAGTATCAAATCAGCCATTTATTGTTTAGCACGACGATTCCGAGTAGCTAACATTTTGTTAGCTAAGCTAGGAGGATGGAGAGCCGCCATGGATATGTTTTGTTGCTGGCCAGTGGGATTTTCCTGTCGGCGTTTTGGCTGTCTGAAGGTGCCCCTCTTCAGTATCCTCACACATCAGGTGAGACAGCTGACTGTAAGCTGATACACAGATAAGAGACTGTTTGTTTGTCCACTACAACTCCTGTCTATCCAGCTGCTTAGCTAGCAGATGTTTCTGTTAGCTCGTATTTGCTGTTTGGGGTGGGTGCTAATCAGCAGCTAAAGGCTAACAACACAACAACCTGGCTGCATTTGATGCTAACCAGTAAAGACTGTTATCATTGTATATGGATATTTCAACTAGTGTTTGTTTAATAACATATTTGAAATGGTAGTTTATTCTGTCTAGCATATATGGAGTGATGAATCTTTAAATAATGCTTACAGTAACAGCATATCATCGTCACGACTCTGCTAACAGCAAATAGGTAAACAGAAACCATACACTCTTCCTCTAACAAAACTCAGAAAATACTTATTAACCAGTCTGGGTTATGTCTGATTATATTTAACACAAATCAATCAGCCTCAAGGTAGCAGGGATGTGTTTGAGTTAATATAATACAGTCTGTTGTAACTGCAGGTACACAGATGTTAATCTGTGAGTGGGGTTGGTCCAGTCATTGACATTTAACTGCGTTTATGGGACAATAGACTGGATGTTGGCCTACCAGCATGGAAACACTGCTTTTTGGTTTTGAAGTGAACCTTGAATAACGTCTTTTATGAGGATAATAGTGGCCTCACACTGCTGACATCACAGAATTAGCCATGGGTGTGATCATCTGATTGTTTTAGAATGAATGAAAATGTTTTTATGGCAGGAAAATGTTTGCCATCTCTTGCCAGTGTTAAGATTAACAGAAATGAGAGAAGTGTGAAAACTATTCAATTCTAGCTGTTTTACTTGGCAGGCTGTGCGACATGCCAGATTACAGTTCTGTAACTGGATGAATTGGAGGATCATTTGAGTCATGTATGAGGTAAAGATGATAAAACATTTGGTGACAGCTTCTCACTGATTTCACCTCAATGTTCATTCATTCATAAATGTCACACCAATTGAAGGAGATGAACCAACTCCAGATATTATCACTTGATACACCAGTAATGTTGTGGATGCCATATATCCGCGAAGAGACAAGGAAATTGTTTCAGTGTTTTCATTTTTTTGCAGCTCTTTCGTACAAGAGGCTCAGTCAACCTGCTTCCTTGTGAGAGATGCAGATGTGAATATCCTGTAGGGATCGGTAATGTGTAACCGTAACACATTCCAATCTTATCACCGCCAGTCAATGATTAGCAACAGGGTTGTTTGCTTATCATAATCCAGCATACAGGAGAGTCATGTGGCAATATGAGCATGCATTTTATGCTTTTATTACAGTGCAATCTGCTCTTTGCTCCACTTAACCAGTCTTCATTTTTCCAGTTCGTACAGATGTGCAGTTATACTGTTTTTCTTTTCAGTTATGAGTTGCAGGCGAGGTCATATGTATAAGATCAAGAACTGGAAAGTCACTTGCGAAGCCTGTCTCTAAGTGAGGTGTGCTGTGTTTACATCAAACATTGGTAAAGGTAGATGGGTAAGCTTCAAGGGAAGTGTCAATGTTTTAACTGTAGTAACAGCCAGGTGATAGTGGCATGTCTGGGCTGTTAGTCAAAGTGGACATTGGCCTTAACCCTCCACAACCATGCCAGAGGTGTAAATCACGAGTTTCAATGCGACAATATATTATGCAAAGTCTTTGGACAATGATATGATATTTGCTGATATCACAAAGTCTGCCATGATACAGGTTTGATTTGATTTAATTCAGGGGCCTTTGATTGATATGAGACGGTGTCAGTAAATTTCGTCATTGTCATTTTCCTGGGAGCTTGACATGATGTGCTTGGCACTAGCACGGTAGCATTGATTGAATGTTAGGAAGGAGGTGCGCTGGGATGGAAACGGTGACACAGATGTGCCATGGGAATTTCAGAATGAGGCGTATCTCAAAGAGAGGATATGTATCTATGTTTTCACTTCACATCGAAAGTATTGGATCATCGATCATTGAATCAAGATATCAGTCCAGATGGATGTACATTACATTACTACTCCAGGCTCTAGGCTGCAGAGGATGCTGATTTTACAGCACTTGCACCGTTGACCAGTCTATAAACAGTGTGTTTTAACAGTTAAAATATTGCTAATTTATAATTGAAAATAACAGAACACAGTCTTGCTAATACGGATCCCTACAAGCGACCTAAGTATTGCTCTTCATTTGATCGATGGAGCTCAGTGCTTCCTATCGAAGCAGCCAGACAAATCTTAGCAGAACCCAAACATGTCAGCCAGACAATGCCATCCCTCATCCTGTACATAACTGAAAGTGCAGACATCCACTGTTGTGCACACTGGTGGGTGAAATCTGCAAAAATGGGTCAGCTCCTCCTCTGCGTGAATGCCTACTGAAATATGCAGTGGAACCGAAATAAGACCTGGCAGCTCCCTGCCGTATTGGTCCCAAAAACCAGTTGAGTCATTTGGCGGGGCCTGCCAAGTCATAATATGAACCCATGACTCAGATAAGGCCTAACCGAGGAGAACTGATCCCATGTAGGGCTGCCGTGACCCAGCTCCTGTTTTTTCTATCTGACTGCTGCTGCAGCCTCACTGGGAGTCCTGCACTGCCTTGGAACCCTGTTGCTCTGCTGAAACAGACAACAAGGCTTTTTTTGTATCAAAAAGCTGCCTGCAGTTACAGCCAAATGTTTTTCACAGGATTCTTGGGAAGTTAAGCTTTATTAAAGCCAATTGGGATTCTCTGTGAACGATTACTCCTGCCAATGACAGATACTAGTTTTGTAATTTATAAACTGGAGATGGAGGAAGTGTTTTGTGAAAAATAGGCACATGTGACATATTTTGGATCTGTCTATAACAGGGCTTAAGTTTTGGTTTATCATTAGCTCACTCTGATTCATCATACTCGAAATTCTTGCCAGTCTAGAATTATGAAACATATGTATTTCATATGCAGATGGTCTTATGCCAGGATCAGTCTAGATGGTATCAGTTTGATAATGATTTAATCTGATGGATGTGTGATTTCAGAAAATAACTTAAACTCAGGCGAAGTCTGTCTTCTATTTTTTAGTCCCTCCTCTGCATAGCATCGTGAAAGACTGAAGTCAGGGGTTTCCTTGTCTTAGTATGAGGCTGTAGTGGTACGCATCAGGGTGTAGTGGAGGCGGGAGCGGTCTGTTGCGTGACATGGTGACAGTACAGTAATGCATGCAACAGATATTCCTTCCTGCTGTAAACGTTTATGTTTATGGAGGGTTGATGTTTACCTAAACTGTAAACTGTGCCTGTAGGTCTGCACCTCACCAGTTTAACTAACAAATGTCCAAATAGAGGTTTATATGTAA